AGACAAACCAGAGAGAAATTAAATCTGTTGGAGATCTGAGGTGCAAGGGAAAGTACATGTGGCTACAACGAAGAGAAGGAGTCATTTCTATTTATTTTTTAATACCAGGCTGCTCTTTAGTTGGTGTTCCTCAGATTCTTGCATAATAGTGTTTCATTTACTTATGTGTGGGTGTTGCTAGTAACCGTACACTCTTTTCTTCAATAAATAAGGCAGGTGGGACATTGCCATTAGAAAATATATTGATTTGCCTTTTTTTGAACTTGCAGGATAAAGACTAAGCCTGTTTGTTTCAAGATATCCACCTAAATAAACAGTAAAAATACTAAACAGTAAATATTTCTTAAACTTCAGCCCAGAAAACCGCTGCATTTTTAGAGTATTTTCTCCTCTATTTGAGTCCTTGCTTCTTTTGCACCTGAACTGTGAAAAGAAAGAAAAACAATTATTCTTCCCATCCTGGCACAGCCTTTGTTTTTAATACCATCTTTGAAATGGCAATACCAAGGTCAACAGTGGCTTCTCTAAGTGGCAAATGATTTCCTCTTGCCAAAGGAGATAAAGGGTGAGGATGAAGGAACGTCTGGGGACTTCCCTGGTGGTTCAGTGGTAAAGAATCCACCTTCCAATGCAGGGGACGCAGGTTCAGTCCCTGGTCGGGGAACGAAGATCCCACATGCCGCAGAGCAGCTAAGCATGTGCACCACAACTAAAGAAGAGAAAACCCACATGCCATAACTAGAGAGAAGCCTGCATGCTGCAACGAGATCCCGCATGCCATAACGAAGACCCGATGCAGCCAAATAAAAATAAATTTTAAAAGAAGGAACATCTGGCTTTCTGGCCCCAACACATGATACCAGGAGGATTATCTCTTTGATTCGTTATCCCCTTTAAATTCATCTCTTATCTCTCTAATATTCCCCTCCCTCAAAGTTCAGATTCAATCAATATTTACATGTCCATCATAAGCCATTCATGTGATACATATTAATAGAGTGATTTACTCCTTTATTTAATAGTTAATTATTGAGCTTCTAATATGCACCATGCCCTATCTAGACTCTAGGGTTAAAACCACAAAGAAGAAAGGGTCTTTTCCCTAAAGTCTCAGGATGAACAACTAAAGCATGATTGGTGCTGTGATAGAGGCAAACACAAAGTAACATGATAGAAGAAGGGAAGAACATCTAACTCTGTTACAAGAAGACCATAGACAGCATCATGGAAAAAGTGATGAATAGGAGTAAACCCACAAGAGGGAAAGAACAGAGAAAAGCATGTGCAAAAGTCCAGAGGCAAGACACAGCAAGCAACCTTATGAAACTACAAATAGTTCAGTGTAGTTGAAGGATACATTGCAGGGAGTGGTGGTCATATCCTGCAGACCAGAGGGAGTCAGTAAAGAATGTTAAACAGGGTTGAGGGAAGGGGCATGATTATAGATTCAGAAAGATCGCTGTGGGTTCAATGTGAAGACTGGAAACCAAGAGACCTGTTGGGAGGTTACCATGGTAATCCAAAGAGAAAAGGACACCCAAACTCAGCTAGTGACAGTGCAAGTGGAAAGGCACAGAGCTGAGAAATGTTTGGGGAAGGTAGAATGTTGAGGATCTGGCTCAGATCATGATTGGATGTAGGGGTCAGGGCGAAGGAGGAGTCAAGGACAATGCCCAGGAGAAGGAGCAGGTTTGAGAGGAGAAGTGAAGAGAAGAATTCAACTGTGGCCTGACTGAGTGGAGATGCCTGTGGGGCATCCAGGTGTAAACACCTAGAAGACCTTGTGAAATATACATCTGAGGCTCAAGAGAGGCTTCTGGACCACTGGCATGGTTTCAAGGATCATTAGCATGTAAATATTCATTGTAGCTATGAGAATGGATGGAATCACCTAGGTAGAGTATGTAATGGAAGGGAAGGGAACCAAGGTCAGAGACTTGAGGACACTGAGTTACAAGAAGGACAAGGGAAACAGTGTCCAAAAGGGGACTGAGAAGGGGCAGCCACAGGTATAGGAGGGAAACTAGGAGAATGTGGTTGAATAGAAGGCAAAGGAAGAGGACATTCCAACAGAGAAGGGAGAGATGGACGGTGTCAAATGCTGAGAGGTCAAGTCAGATAAGAAATGAGAATGTTCATGAAATTTAGCAAAAAGGAGACTGTGACTTGAGTGAGAGCAGGTTCAGAGGTGAGTTGTGGGCAGAAGCCGACTATAGTCAGTTGAGAAGGAAGGGAGGTAAGGAAGCTGCAGCAAATGTGAAGAGTTATTTCAAGAACTTGTGCTGTGAGGGGGAAGAGAGGGATAAGAGGAAAATGGGTGGGGGGAGGGAAAGGAGAGTTGGAGGGAGGATTTTTTTTTTTTAAGGTGAAAGAGACTTGAGAAGTCTTTAGATGGGAAGGATTTAATGCAAATGTCAATGTTGAAATATAGAGACAGGGTAATTGTTGGAGGGAAGTGCCTGAGCAGGTCCGAGGTGATGAGAACCTAGGTACAGGCAGAGAGGTTAGTCTTAGGGGAAGGTATGCACAGGTATAGAGACAGGTGGCGTGGACGGAGGGGTGGCAGGAAGGTGTGGGCATTCTTGTCTGTGGCTTACATGTTTTGGGGAAGTAGCAGGCAAGGTTATCTGAGGTCTGGGTGAGGTAGAAGTATGAAGGGGTGGAGTGGAAGGTTTCAGGTAAATGGAGGAAAGGCTTATAAAGATGCCGTGGAGACTGAAGGAACAAAGCTGACCAGGGAAGCAGGAGTCCTGGGGCAGTGCTGATGGCCCAGGTGCTGTGGGAGTGAATTGGGAGTACACCCCTCCCAAGGGTTGGGTGATCTTCTCCAGCAGTGCCCCCAGCCCTGAGCACGAAGAAGGTAGACAGCTGTGAGTGGAAGAGTTTTGCCTGAAATTCCTGATGGAAAGACAACTTGAGAAGGCTGCAGGGGGAGCACAAAGTTCAGGAGTGAGCCAGCTTTCCAGGAAGTGGGGGCAGTGCCCATTATTTTTTGAAAATAATATACTGATATATTTTTACTCTAATTAACTCCCAAAGTGTAGGTCCTCCTGACTCACATACAAGATAGGCTGTCAACCGGGCATGAGTACAAGCCATGTTGAAAATATTGAGGGGGGCACTTTTGATTATGACTGATTCTGAAGTGCTGCTGGCATTTACTGGGTGAAGGTCAGGGATGTTAAAGGTCCAGCCATGCCTGGGACCATCCCACCCAACCAAGAACTGTTACATATGGCAGTGCTACTCCCGTTGAGGAACACTGGCAGAAAACGTGGTGGCCAGCCTCCAAACCAAGCCCCCATTGATCCCTGCCTCCTGGCACGCACACACTTGTCCTGTCCCCGCACTCCCAACGTTGTACCGGGCTCGGTCTGTGTGGCAGAAGTGAGTCACTCCTGGGATTAGCTTATAGAAGACTGCAGCTCCTATCTTGGTCACTCTTTCTCAAATCACTCACTCTGGGGGAAGCCCTGTTGTGAGCAGCCCTGTGGAAAGGCCCTCTTGTGAGGAACTGAAGCCTCCTTCCGGCAGCCGCATGACTGAGCTTGGACACACATCCTCTAGTTCCAGTCAGGTTTTCAGAGACTGTAGTCCTGGGCAAGAGCTGGAAGGCAACCCACCCAGCTAAGCCACTTCTGGATTCCTGACCCTCAGAAACCATGTGAGATTCTAAACATTTGTCGTCTTAAGTTGCTCCGTCTGGGGAGTAATTTAGTTCAGGGCAAGACTACCCTTGATGGTCAGACACAGCAGACTCAGTCCATAGAGTTCTAACGTGAGTCATGGGAATGGTAACTCAGGATATGACGTAAAGGAAGTTTGTGTCTACTTAAAGAGAAAGGGGAAGTAGCAGCTCTTTGGGGGAGGAGGTGAGAAGATAAGGGAAGGAGAAGAAAAGGAAGCATTCAGGCACTTGGGTCCTAGGTTCTGCCTCACGGGCCACTCTAAGTGGCTGTACTGCTTGTTTGCTGCCTATGGGTGCCTGGCCAAGGAGCCAAGTAGTCAGTTTGAAACCGAAAAGTATTAAAATCTCTTTAACTGACAAGTTATGCCCTATCCTACCTGCTCAGGGAATAGACTAGAGAGCTACAGGAAATAGTTTATAGAGAAATTTGTTAAAGCTTTTTTTTTTTACATTTTTCAATTTGTAATGGATTTCATTTTTGCCCCCACTGAACCATCAGTGCAGTAATTACAGTAATTACCTGATTCTTTTCCCCTGAAATTAAAAAAAAAAGAAGCGTTAAATGCAAATACCCCATTCACTTGCCTTTAGATCAAATTCCCAGTGCACTCAGTCACCCCAAAGCATATTATCTAAATGGCAAAATGAGCAATATTGTATACTCTAGACTTCAAATAACCTGACCATTGACTATTGTGGATCTCTAGAAAAAATGCTTCTTAATAAAATGTGAGAAAGATCTCAAAGATTAATAAATGTGCTAGCATGGAGGGAGTTGAGGCTCTAAGTGCCTACAAAATTATCTTCCTCTCCATAGTAGAATGCAGAAAGGAAGGAAGGAAGAAGAGGAAAACGAGAGAGGAAGATAATTCCACTTCTTAGCGTTTATCCTTATTTTTACTTTGCTCCCTCATTCTTCATTTATATATTATGTTCTCCCACCTTGTCTTGAAGGAAATAATCTTTCTCAAACTGAAGTCAACAGACTATCAAGATTTTCAAGTTGTTCTTGGTGTCAACTCTTTAGAGAAGCGGGGAAGGTATTGTACTGGGTCAATGAACAACCAAAGAAAAATAAATCTATGGATGTGTAGGGACCTAGGGAGGCTCCCAAAAGATGAATAATTCATCTTCCTACTAGACTTGGAGTTACAGTTAGGAACCAGCAGCTGTTCCCAGGGTTAAGTCAATACTAAGGACTCTGTGTCATCAGTAACAAAGTTCTGCAGCAAACACAGACACCCCCAGGACAGATCAGATGACAGGAGAGAATACAGGCCAGACCCCCACTAGCTAAGGCTTATCAACAATTCCTTAGTGAGAATGAACTGAAGGGTGACAGCAAAACTTTTGTTATGAACTCCCATTACCTTTAGACCCTTGCTAATCGAAGTGTGATCCATGGACCAACCATAGCAGCATCACCCGGGAGCTTGTTGGAAACATCGCGTCTCAAGCTCTGCCTCAGACATGCTGAACCGGAATCTGCAAACAGGTGAATAATATGCACATTACAGTTTAAGAAGCGTTGTTTGGGAGTTCACTGAACAGAAGCATGTAAGATAATGCACATGCAGTTCTCAGCACTTTTGAGTGTTCATAGATTTCTGATTAAAGAACCCCTGTAGGTATGGTTACTTATAGAAATCTCATCCAGGTGAACTTTACCTGGCCATTACTGTCGAGATTTTGATATGCAGGTGAGCAAAAACAGATAAGCAACACCCTCTGGAGATTAAGGTTTTAATAAATGTCTACCTGTGTCTGGGGGATGCTGCATGCTGCAAGACTACCTATTAAATACCACCTGGGGAGGAGTGGGATAGGGAGGGTGGGAGGGAGATGGGAGAGGGAGGGGATATGGGGATATATGTATGTATATATATATATATATATATATATATATATATATATATATATATAGCTGATACACTTTGTTATACAGCAGAATCTAACACACCATAGTAAAGCAATTACACTTCAATAAAGATGTTAAAAAAATAATACCGTAGTAACAATTTAGTATTCGTATATTGAACATTCATCCAAAAATCATTTATTGGACATGTACTATGGGCAGGGATCTAGTCTTAGAACACTGACCAAACCTGAAGTAAGTAATCTTTTTTTTCCAACTTAAACTACAACTCATAAAAGTCAAGATCTACACATAATTGAAAAGGTTTTAAATTAAGGAAATTAAAAAAATTTTACTCTCCTGTTTTTAACACAGTCAATAGGAAAATAAATTTTCTGTAGGGAAAATATTAGAAACCATAAAATATACACTTGAAATACACTTTCTGGTCAGTTCACATGAAACACCTGGGACCAGGAAAAGAAGAAAAATACACAAAACAAGGGAAAAAGCAGGAAGGCTCAAAGAAAGCAGATTAAGAATGTGTTAGTGAGAGATGAACAGAAGAGAGACAGAAGTACAAATAGAGTGAGGCAGACACGGGTGCAATGGCATGTGAGGCATTAGGCACATTAGAGCTGCTTCTGTGATACCTGATATATCAGTACATTTGAGTTCAGAGTAAGAGATCATTTCCTGTCACTTCTTTTTATAAAATTCTGTAACCGTCCACAGCTGATCTTATCAAATATTGTTGACTGTAGAACTGAGGAGATGCAGCAGCCCTTTTGTGCTTAGAGGTACTCAGGTATCACCTCCAATTATAAGAGGATGATTAATTAATTGTCAACAAGGATAATTTGTGGAGTTCTAATATTTATTGTGCTCTGAAAGACCCCCTGTAAGGACCTTGTCATCTAACTATTAGTCATCAAAGCAATGATATAATTAGACTGCATCAGCATACTCTAATACAAGACTAGTAATCACCTTTTATAAAACATATCCGAGAATAGAGGTGACATCTCAGTAAATCCATGTAAAATTGACAGTTAAGATATTCTTCAGAAACCTAAAATTTATTTTAATAGAGGACCACATCAAACTGTCTGAGTGAAGAATAGTGGGACCCATTGGTTTTATTACCCCATGAGCATTAAAAAATTTTTTGTTTTGGGGTTTTTTTTTCACTCTTAAGGTAGAAATTTATATGGGCTACAATCTCCTCAAGGCTTACATTGCTCTAGGATGAAGTGGCACATAGAAGATGGGTGCATAAACCTACTCACCCCCAGATTACATTTCACACATTGTAACAATAATGTGCAAGGAAGCAAAGAGGCTGGCAAGTTCATAAATATAGAGCAATTTGAGATTTCTCATGCAAGTTATTCTAGAAATGCCAAGTATCTTGTTTATGACAGCCCAAGAATTGAAATATAGGTTGTCATGTTCACTACCGCCCAGACAGCGCAGAGTGAAAGGCTTTCATGTTTCAAATAAAACAAGTAGAGGGGGAAACAGGATTCATCTTGCTGAAGCTCTATAAGGCAAAGTTATGTGGTTCGTTGTGAATGGAAATAAAATATTCTATAGAAAGCAGAAAACATAGCTTTTAGGGAGATAGGCTGCTTTTTAAAAGATGAATCTGTGATTCCACAATGACATAAAAGCTGGAGTGTTATTTCCTAGTCCTTTTTACATTTTAACTGTCGCTGAAACTAAAGTAATGGAAAAATTATATTTGTATGTATAAAGTGACTATGAATTATCCATTCATTACAAGCATTTTTCCCCTTATCTATTTAGATACAGTTATAGCCTTGCTTTCCATCGTTTCAGAAAACAGGATGCTGGTCGATAAAAATTCCAGTTGAGTAAGTACATATTCATTTTCTCTGAGTTAGTCTCTCTCTTACTTTGTCCTTCATTCTTTCCTCCCAGACTGGGCAGAAGATATGTGTCCCAGAGATCTAACTTTCCTTTCCAAAAATTAGCAGGAACAATAAATAACTCTTTAACTAAAATTTCCACTGTTTTTTAGTCTCTGACGTTGTCATTTAGTAAAGAATTTTGTATGACAGATCACCAGATGTGCTGAATCTAGATAGATTAGTAAAATACTAGATAACAGCATTTGGCTATAACTGCACTTTTAAAAATATTGTTTATATATGCATATTTTATCCATGTGTGCTATATATGTGTATCATTTTTACGAGATTGTCAGTTCCATAAGGATAGCGTCTGTCTTCTTCCTTCTGTATTCCTGGAACATAGCATAGTTTCTAGCATAGAGTAAATGTGTGATACATTTATTTACTCATTGACTAATTTTTATTGAGCACCTACTGTGTTCCAGGCACTGTTTCTAGATGTTGGGGATATAGGATTAAAGAAGAAAAAGTTTCTGCTCTTATGGTGTTATATTCTAGTAGGTAATAACCAGCAAACAAATAAGTAAAACACATAGTATATACCCTGAGGAAAAAAATTAAACTGCATAAAGGATGGAAAGTGATGCGAATGAGATGCTACCAGATACTGGGTGGTTATAGTAGAAGCTGTGCTGTGCCACCCGGATCTCCCTTCAGCAAGAGACACTCATTCCCTCAGCTGCCATGAATGTTGGATGCTTGAGGGTTCACAGCTGAGTCCTCCCTAGGACCTGCTCTTGATAGGAGGAAGCTACCTTGCCCAAGGTTACCCTCCTCTCTGGGGGCAGCCTGCATCTGATAATGACTTCATGCAGTGGTACAGATCTCTCTTGCCTCAACTGGAACAGTTGTGAGAGTTCAGCTCCAGAGCTCACTATAAGATCAGCTGAGGCCTCTGTTGTAACTGCGTCAACAGTTCAGCATCTTCCACTTTTCAATGTTGCTTCCTTCAACCTCAGCCATCACAGATATTGGTCCCATATATACTCCCCAATAAATCTCCTCATGTAAATCTCAGAGTGAGCAAGGGGATAACGGCATTTGAATTTTAATCCAAGTACAGTTGTCACATAGGTACTTAATGTGTCATTCTGGAGTTCAGGGAAGAAGTGAAGCTGAGGCTATGAATTTGGGAGTTGTCAGGGTAGCTAAAATAAAAATCACCTGGGGAGTAAGTGAAAGTAGAGAATAAAAGAGGTAGTAGGATGGATTTTGGAGCTCTCCAATATTTACAGATCAGGAGGGATGGAAAGAAACAGCGAAGAAAATTGAAAAGAAGCAGCCATTGTGATAGCAGGACCGTGGAATGGTGTCCTGGTAACCAAGAGGGAAAAATGCTTCAAGGAGGAGGGGATGATCAACTGGGTCAAATGCTACAGACACATCTAACTGATGAAAACGGAATTGATGATTAGTTTTTGCAGCATAGAGGTCATTGATTGTAGTTTCAGTGGAATGGTGGGAACAAGAGTATAATTTATTGAATGAGTATAATATGTCTTATAAGTTAAGATTTATTAAATACCTATTATATTAACAGGATATATCTGTACCTCTGTATTTGAGAAGGTCGGTGAACTGTATTCCTAGTGCCTAGAGCAGTGCCTGGCACGTGGTATGTGCTGAATGCATATTTTATGAATGATGAATTACATGCTGCCATTTTTGGTGAGTACACACCATTACTGATCTAATGGTATAGAATTTTAAGCATAAAAGGAGATTATAATTTTTCCTCTTAATTCAACTACCCCTTTTTACAATCGTGCAAGCCATGGACTAAGGTGGGACCAGAATTCAAACCTCCAAAGTTAAGTGCTTCATTTTATCTACTACAACATCCTGGCATATGAAACATTTGCTTTATTTAACTCTGTGAACCTAAAATCACCTTCAGTTCAAAGTTGAGAAAAATCAAAACATTTTTTCAGAATGTTCACGGTTTTTTTTTAACCATCTTTATTGGAGTATAACTGCTTTACAATGGTGTGTTAGTTTCTGCTTTATAACGAAGTGAATCAGCTATACATATACGTATATCCACATATCTCTTCCCTCTTGCGTCTCCCTCCCACCCTCCCTATCCCACCCCTCTAGGTGGTCACAGAGCACTAAGCTGATCTCCCTGTGCTATGCGGCTGCTTCCCACTAGCTATCTATTTTACATTTGGTAGTGTATATATGTCCATGCCACTCTCTCACTTCGTCCCAGCTTACCCTTCCCTCTCCCTTTGTCCTCAAGTCCATTATCTGTCTGTGTCTTTATTCCTGTCCTGCCCCTAGGTTCTTCAGAACCTTTTCTTTTTTTTTTTTTTTTTTTAGATTCGATATATATGTGTTAGCATACGGTATTTGTTTCTCTCTTTCTGACTTACTTCACTCTGTATGACGGTCTCTAGGTCCATCCACCTCACTACAAATAGCTCAATTTCGTTTCTTTTTATGGCTGAGTAATATTCCATTGTATATATGTACCACATCTTCTTTATCCATTCATCTGTTGCTGGACACCTAGGTTGCTTCCATGTCCTGGCTATTGTAAATAGAGCTGCAATGAACATTGTGGTACATGACTCTTTTTGAATTATGGTTTTCTCAGGGTATATGCCCAGTAGTGGGATTGCTGGGTCGTATGGTAGTTCTATTTGTAGTTTTTTTGTTTTTTTCTTTTTTGTGGTATGCGGGCCTCTCGCTGTTGTGGCCTCTCCCGTTGTGGAGCGCAGGCTCCGGACGCGCAGCCTCAGCGACCATGGCTCACAGGCCCAGCCACTCCGCAGCATGTGGGATCTTCCCGGACTGGGGCACGAACCCATGTCCCCTGCATCGGCAGGCGGACTCTCAACCACTGCGCCACCAGGGAAGCCCTATTTGTAGTTTTTTGAGGAACCTCCATACTGTTTTCCATAGAAGCTGTATCAATTTACATTCCCACCAACAGTGCAAGAAGGTTCCCTTTTCTCCACAACCTCTCCAGCATTTATTGTTTGTAGAATGTTCAAATATTTATTCACCCAATCCCTCAATGAGATCTCTTAATGCTTCTAAATAGATTAAATTGTATGAAACTTTCTAATTAAAAGTTTACTTTTTAGCAGCAAGGTCCTACTGCATGGCACAGAGAACTATGTTCAATATCCCATGATAAACCATAATGGAAAAGAATATTTAAAAAAAACATATATATGTATAACTGAATCACTTTGCTCTACAACAGTAATTAACACAACATTGTAAATCAAATATACTTCAATAAAAAAAAAGTTAAAAAAAGAGTTTACTTTTTAATTCTATGTTTTCATTGGTAAAATACTAAGGAGTCTACATTGTGCTAAAAGTTTCCATTTTACTTAGAAAAGTAACTCTTTGAAATACAACAGTATGGGATTTAGGACTTATTCTCCTCATTCCAAGCAAAAAGTTTCCTTGCTTGATTCTTTTCAGTTAAATCTTTTTTTTTTAATTTATTTTTTTATACAGCAAGTTCTTATTAGTTATCTATTTTATACACATCAGTGTGTACATGTCAATCCCAATCTCCCAGTTCATCCCACCACCACCACCACCCCACTGCTTTCCCTCCTTATTGTCCATACATTTGTTCTCTACATCTGTGTCTCTATTTCTGCCCTGCAAACTGGTTCAGTTAAATCTTTAATACAGCAATAAAGCATAAACCTTATCATTTGAACAAACTTTAGAGCTCTTTTGTGTACATGGTGATTCTCTTGAAAAATGATTTTGGATGATGCAATTTGAAGTGAGATAAATGTATGTTGTACTAGTCACTTGTACTCCAAACAGTCTAGTTTATTTTCAAATAATCTAAGTATTTAACATCAAAAACCAGACAATAAAAAAATGCAATATTGTGAAATTTTCTAATTTATTTTATAGAGAGAGATTTTGAATGTTGTACTCATAAAAATACTAGTTGTGGCTAATATCACTGAACCAGCCTTGGCAGAAACTTCAAAAAGCAACTGTCAAGTGCAGAAAAATAGAGATTAGATTAATAAAATTTTATTCTGTTAAGTTTTACTAATCAATGCTGCTGATGCCAATGCCAAAATCAAAAGTGTAATTTACTTGTCTCATTGGCTAATATGTTATAATATTTTTTTCTGGAAGTGTCAGTCTAAGAGAAAACAGAAAATGTCAGCTGTATTCAGTTTGGTCATGGAGACAATGAGCAAGCATGATGTAAGCCTATTTATTTTAGGTCTACCCAGGCCAACTTAAAGAGAAAGGAAGCCATTATGTAGATCATTCGGCCTTCAAAACTTGCTATGGAACAAAAACAGGGTTTTTATTTTATTTTATTTATTTTTATTTTTGGCTGCGTTGGGTCTTCGTTGCTGTGCACGGGCTTTCTCTAGTTGCGGCGAGCGCGGGCTACTCGTTGCTGTGGCTTCTCTTGTTGCGGAGCACGGGCTCTAGGCATGTGGGCTTCAGTAGTAAAACAGGGTTTTTTAAATGATTCAGTGTACTTCAACAAAGTTTATTTCAAATAATAAAAAAAGATTCATTTGCAACCACTCAATGTAATAATTGAATTAGGCAAAGATGCAAAATCCACTGGATTAAAGGTAGTTGGAAAACAAGACATTCATTTGGCTTCAAAGACGCATCCTACATATTACTTATTAATTACAATGGTAAACGGTACTTTTATAGTGGAAAGATGCTGTTGACACACACATACATGTTTATACACATATATGTATAAATACATAACTTCTTAAAAATTTACATACTTCTCTACAACTTGTTTTTCTTTCTTTTTTTTTTGAGGTAAAATTGACATGTAACGTTGAATTAGTTTTAGGTGTACAACATAATGATGATATATATATTGTGCAATGATCACCAAAACAAGTCTAGTTAACATGTCACAGTACCTAGTTACAAAATTTTTTTCTTGTGATGAGAACTTTTAAGATCTACTCTTTTAGCAACTTTGAAATATGCAATACAGTATTAACTATAGTGGCCATGCTGTAGATTACGTCCCTATGACTTGTTTTATAACTGGAAGTTTGACCTTTTGACCCCTTTCACCAATTTTTCCCACCCCCTTCCCCCCTCTTCAACTTGCTTCTCTCAGGCAGTAATACCTGGTAGAATTTCCAAATCAACTAGTATTGCTCTTAATTTGCTGTCTCTAACTCTTTCAATGGCTGGAAAATATTCCATGGTTGTGGATATAGTGTGACTTATTGAAACAATTCCTCCTTCGAGGTGCATTTACTTTCTCACCCCCAATTTGCCACCTCTATACTCAATGCTATAAAATAAGCATACTTGTGCATATATCATATGGCTGGTCCTTTTTATCAATGAAATTAATATCTAAGAGCAGATAAAAAGTTTTATCTGTATTAATACATATTACCAAATTACTTTTCAAATGAGATAACAGTTCACAGTATTTCCACAAGAAATATATGAGATTATTTTTCTTCCTCAATCTTATTCCCACCAACAGTAGGTATAATTGCTCTGTAGTTTTCCGACTTTGATGGAGTAGAAAGAAATACCTTATCAGGGCTTTAATTTCATTCTCTCATCATGCTTCAGTTTATGCTTTTTAAATCTATATTTATTGATTATTTGTCTTTGCTCTTCATATTCTTTGCTAATTTTTCTACAGGATTTTTTTTGCATTTCATTAATACCTAAGACTACCTTGTATTACTAGAAATATTCATGGTTTGTCATCTGCTGAAATTTTTCTTTAAATATATTATTTTCTCAGTTGATCTTACTTATGGCATCTTTGGCCATACAAGTTTTAAAATTTTATACATAAATATATGTCTCTATATAGAAATACACCTTAAGATTTTCCATCTTAGTTAAGAATGCCTCCCACACCCATAGAGGGAAAAAATTATTTACCAGTTTTCTTTGTATATGTTCTTTGCTTTCCTTATCCAATTTATTTCTAATTTTTTATATTTCAGTTTTTAATTTTTCAATAGTTTTATTGAGGTATAACATGCATACCATAAAATATCCAATGTAAATGTACAATTTAATGTTTTCAATGAATTTATATAGTTGTGCATCCATCATGCCAAAATGTTTCCTTATGGCTGTTTCGTCAATTCTTTCTCCCATCTCAGTCCCTGGCAACCACTGATCTGATTTCTGACTATAGATTTGCCTTTTCTGAAAAATTCATATCAATGAAATCATATATAAATGGAATCCTATAATGTGTAGCCTTTGGTTTCTAGCCTTATTTTCTTAGCTTAATGTTTTTGAGGTTGTATTAGTTTCCTGAGGTAATAACAAATTACCACAAAATCGGTAGCTTAAAACAACAGAAATTTATTGCCTCACAGTTCTGGGAGCCAGAGTCCAAAATCAGGGTGTTGGCAGTGCTACATATTCCCCTAGAAGGCTCTAGAGGGGAATCTAGCTTACTTCTTCCAACTTCTGGTGGCTGTCAGCATTCCTTGGCATTCTTGGCTTACGACCACATCACCGCAATCTCTGCCTCCGTGTTTACACAGCCTTTTGTGTGTGTATTTGTCTTTTCCTCTTCTGTCTCTCAGATCTCCTTCTACCCTTTCTATAAGGACAGTTGTCATAGAATTTAGGACCCACCTGAATAAATCAGGATGATCTCCTCATCTCAAGATTCTTAACTGAATTACAGGTGTAAAGACCCTTTTTGGCTCCAGAAATAAAGACATGAACAATCTTTGGGGGCCACCATTCAATCCACAACAGAGGTTCATCCATGGTGTAGCATGTATCACTACTTCA